GACGAAACCGTCGAAACGGAAAAACCAGGTCCACTTCGGAGCGGTTTTTCTCAAGACAGATTTATTTCCAAGTATTTGCCATGGCACTAGCATGTAGTAGAGGGATAAAAAGTATACATTTCGCCCAGAATGGGTGCATGAGCTGTGCTCCAAAAGTTCCCTGTGAAGGCGCGGGTGCTCAAACTTTAAAAATGGGACGAAACCGTCGAAACGGAAAAACCAGGTCCACTTCGGAGCGGTTTTTCTCAAGACAGATTTATTTCCAAGTATTTGCCATGGCACTAGCATGTAGTAGAGGAATGAAAATTATATATTTCGCCCAGAATGGGTGCATGAGCTGTGCTCCAAAAGTTCCCTGTGAAGGCGCGGGTGCTCAAACTTTAAAAATGGGACGAAACCGTCGAAACGGAAAAACCAGGTCCACTTCAGAGCGGTTTTTCTCAAGACAGACTTATTTCCAAGTATTTGCCATGGCACTAGCATGTAGTAGAGGAATGAAAATTATATATTTCGCCCAGAATGGGTGCATGAGCCGTGCTCCAAAAGTTCCATGTGAAGGCGAGGGTGCTCAAACTTTAAAAATGGGACGAAACCGTCGAAACGGAAAAACCAGGTCCACTTCGGAGCGGTTTTCTCAAGACAGATTTATTTCCAAGTATTTGCCATGGCACTAGCATGTAGTAGAGGGATGAAAATTATATATTTCGCCCAGAATGGGTGCATGAGCCGTGCTCCAAAAGTTCCCTGTGAAGGCGCGGGTGCTCAAACTTTAAAAATGGGACGAAACCGTCGAAACGGAAAAACCAGGTCCACTTCGGAGTGGTTTTGCTCAAGACAGATTTATTTCCAAGTATTTGCCATGGCACTAGCATGTAGTAGAGGGATGAAAATTATATATTTCGTCCAGAATGGGTGCATGAGCCGTGCTCCAAAAGTTCCCTGTGAAGGCGCGGGTGCTCAAACTTTAAAAATGGGACGAAACCGTCGAAACGGAAAAACCAGGTCCACTTCGGAGCGGTTTTTCTCAAGACAGATTTATTTCCAAGTATTTGCCATGGCACTAGCATGTAGTAGAGGGATGAAAATTATATATTTCGCCCAGAATTGGTGCATGAGCCGTGCTCCAAAAGTTCTCTGTGAAGGCGCGTGTGCTCAAATTTGAAAAGTAGGGCGAAACCGTCAGTACTGAAAAACCAGGTCCACTTTGAAGCGTTTTTTTTTTTCAAAATAAAGTTATTTTCAAGTATTTGCCATGATACCAGCATGTAGTAGAGGGATGAAAATTATATATTTCGCGTCGTCTACCACTTGAGTATAGAGAGACCAAGGTTCGAGGAGATATCATAGAAACAACATCTGAGCGGATGAACACTGAAACCTTTCAGACTCGCCAAACTGCTTGGCCCATGGACAACACGACAACGCCCAACGAGCCTTCAAAGCAGTTCTAAAAGCGCAACGTGCGCGCGTGCGTGCATCGTGTATGCGGACGCGAAGTGATAAGCTAAGCTATGTTTTTTCTTTAACACTAACTTTGATCTCCCCTTTCCTAACAAAGTAGCCAGACCCTCAGTCTTTGTTCAATAAAACGGTGGCCGGAAGCTTACTGCTGTAGAAAATTATGTTAGCCCTGGAATAAAGAGCATTGAGAAAGAAACGGGTATTACTCTGTCTCAGTCACAAATGAACAGAAAGGTACTTCACGAACCTCGGAACCAAACCAACACAGAGAGTGCGCCACGTGATCAGACGGTATTGCGCAGCAGTGCGAAAAATGTAAAGTCATGTGGCACGCTCACCGGGCTGGGTTGGCTGGGATGAATCGTAACGTTTGCTGCAATTCATTGAAGAGAAAAATTAGATATAGCTATAAATAAGAAATTATAAACCAAATCGTGTAGGAGATTCTCATGGAACTCGCAGCATTTTGCACCGTCTTTTATGGCGTAAACGCTTCTTCGTTAAAGGGGTCTGGAACTGTTATGGAACCTCCATGAATCTTTGTCGACTTCCGTGAGGTCCTTTATATGGCTTCTTCCGTGAGTGTTTTTTTGGAATTCTGAAGATGCTCCGGAAGGGTACTGCGGGGGGATCACGTAGTGGTCGACGGTCACGCGTGACCCCACGGATCATGGGCACTTGACCGTGCGACCAGCAGGTTCGTTATTTCTAGTGTGGCTACGTGGTGGACGAAAACCGATGGGCCATGGTCAGGTGACCCCCACCCACAAACAAACGACGCTTACGCATGAACATGTGGCCAGCAAAAGTGCGCTATTATCAGTATTGTCAGGTTGCTTCCGACTCAGTCACGTGACCATGTGTGGCCATCAAAGGTGCGCTATTTCTTATGTGGTCACGTGGTGGACGGGACCCCACGGACTATGGTCACGTGACCTCAGTGACGATGGACAGGTGATCCCTTATGATCATGATCACGTGTCCGTGCGACCACCGAAGGTGCGATATCTTATGTGGTTGCAACCACCACCCCCTCGACAGACCGACCGACGTGAAAACTGAGAAAGGTTTTTTAACTTTATGATGTGTGAGGGCAGACATTAACATAAGCTCACGACGTTTTTGTTAGAGTATTTGAAGGCCTTGAGGAACACAGGCTCTAATCACTGTAGTGAGGTCATGCTATATGATCAAATTTTAACGACTGTGTCTGTTTAAAGCAATTAACGGAATAGGACCAAAGAATTGCATACTTCAGGAATATATCGCATATTTACTCGAATTAGTTTTTATACTAGGCCTCGGCGTTTGGACAAAATCAAAGATTCGGGAGTTCCGCTCGTTTCAGCTGAATTTACTGTGGAGTTATAAAGTCGTTCCTAAATCCTCCGATTTCCTCTTCTTACTAGCAGGAACCAATCTCGCTCGGTGGCCGCTGTGTCAGCGGAGTAGTATACTCACACATTAGAATAAGAACGGCGTTGCATTGCACTTTTGGAACTACCTTTCTGATAGGAGTATCAGAAAGTTACGCTGGAATTATGCGGAAGTGAAAAAGGCAATATCATTCATGTTGTTGACAGAACAACATTTGTATTTTTCCACACGTACGTGTTTTTGATTATATACAACGCACACGCGCAGCAGCCTGTTTCTTGAAATGTGAATAATCTTCACAATCTCGGTGCAGCAGTCGTCACTACTGCTCCTATGTCATGCTCCAAAAACGTGGTGGCGTGTGCAAATTTCTGATAAGTACTAAGAACTCCTGATATGGTCATAACGCCGTTTTGAGCTGAATTGTGGGAGTTTGTTACGTGGGCCTGAAAGCTGAGGTGAGGTATTACATAGCGAGCGAACGTCAAAACAAACGAAGTGTCTGGTTACTCGAAAAGGCAATCTCGAGTCCTCGGCCACATATTTGTGCGAACTTCTCCCCGCCATTTAAATATTAATACCCCAAGGCGAACTGTAGGTAATAAATAAACAAAAATAATAATGCCCCAAGGGCGAACTGTATGTAATAAATAAACAAAAATGAACAATAAACAAATGTATTTCATGCATTTCCTGACTTTCTCACGGAAAGCGTAGCCACAACTTTATTTATTCTTGAGCGCTGAAAACGTCTGCCGCGGAAGAGGTATGTAGCACTAATGTAAAAAGTGATGACATGTGAATAAGCCCAATAGTGACACACAAAAAACAAAGATACAGTTTAGAATATTCCTTCGACGGCAGACGAACGTTTTGTGATAATCGGAATAAACGTGCTTTGATAAGTAAGCCCTTGGGAGCAAGAACCCAATGTAAGGGTTCTTGCTCCCAAGCTCCCAAGCTCAACAACAGAAGAAAAAACTCAGTTTGTTGAGTGCCAGCCTGGTGGAAAGAAACTGTTAACCAGTGCACCGCGCAACTTTTTGCGATCTGATAGGGTGTCAATTATTGTCGGAAAGATCGTTTGAGTTCTGGATGGCACGAGGAAGTGCTGAGGTTTTAAAAGGATGGATGCTGAACGAAATATTCGCTGGAAGCTTTCGCTGCTTTTTACGAAAAGAATCCGGTGGTTCTTAATAAAATAGAAAGAAAGAGAGGCAGAGAGAGAGAGAGAGAGACAGACAGAGAGAGGGGGGGGAGCAACGCTATAAAAAATATCAGGACGGACTTAGCCTTGCCGTTGGAGCTGGCATTGCCCCGCTTGGCAGTGGTTCCAAAAGAGGTGAACTGGACTGACCGAAGTTTTGAAGGAATCGATGAAGTAAGCAAAAGAGCGAGATTAGTCGACGAGTTTGGAGAGGATGAATGAACTTACATTGCCTAAGATCTGACACGCTAATAAATCGAGAATGAGACTATATGAATAGCGCGGTACAGTTTTAGACGGGTTCTGAATGCGTAATTCTGTACGTTTAGTGATATCATTAAGTATTGTAGACTAAGAAAAAGAAGGTGCAAGCTTCCGGAGACTAAATAGACACGGAAGAAACTAAGAAAGAGGAAGGAGAGAGCGCTCGCACTGAAAGGATCGAGATGACGGTCGGGTACAGTTCAACGATACCTCCAAAATAAATAAATCATTATTTCCTTCTATTTTAACACAGTTCGCATAATTAAACCGGCTTTTTATTTTTATCGTCACCGTGGAGATCCTTCCTCCATTTACTTAATAAAGGCTTCTAAATATATTAGGCGTATTCCGGTTTCTGGGGCGGACGTGAGTACTATAAGTATGCTTCTGTGTTTTCGGACAAATTCGATAAAATCGAAAAAATACGTCCGGTAAAATATTTTAATATTTATATTTACCCAAAAAACTCAGATTTTTCAGGACCGCCAACTGCTATGAATCCTACTGGTCTTAATATTTTCCAGGGATCTTCAAACAAGTTTTGCTCTACTTCTCTATATCTAATATTTATTTATTTATTTGAAAAACTGCAGGCCTTTTTCAGGCCCTCGCAGTATCAACTTTCATTTGTATGATCACAAAGAACTTCCGTTTAGCTTCTATAAGTGGGTTTGGCAGTGCGAACTGGGGCATGTCGACTCATCCGTTTCTGATCATTCCGCAGCTTTTGCTGTCGGTCACCGGCTACCAGATCAACGTGCCTGCCCCGGACCCAGCTTATCTCTTCAGTCCTCCGGTCCTACATGCCTGTGCTGACGTGGCAGCGGTTTCCTTTTTGGCTCCGACGTCATCAACCACTGCTCATGCGCCGCCCACAGCACCAGATGAAGTTCCTACTAGGGTATTACTGGAGCAACTGCTCGCAACTCAAAAAGAAATATCCCAAAACATTGCCGACATAAAGAGTGAGCAGCAGTCTACTAAGTCTTGGTGTGCTAGTGTGAATAGTCGCCTTGGTCTTATAGAGACATCTATTGACGAACTTAGGTCAACCACAAAAAGGGTTGAAGGCTGCGAGTATGGGTTAGCGGATGTTGCTAGCACGATCGGGGATCTTAAACGAAAGACCGACGACCTTGAAAACAGGAGCAGACGAAACAACCTAATCATTCATGGAATTAAATGTGATGTCAATGAAACGGCAGATCAGCTTAAAGAAAAAGTTTGCACGAATATATTTTCTACCAAGCTTCAGGTTGACGTTTCTACTGTCGAGAGGATCCATAGACTAGGACGCAATCAAGGAACTAGACCAAGACCCGTGATAATGAGCTTCAGAGATTACAACGAGAAAATGAGCATTCTCACTAATGCTAAAAAACTAAAGGGGACGGGCGTTTTCATCAATGAAGACTACTCCTACGAATTGCGTCAAATACGCAAAAAGCTATGGGACAGCTCGCAGGCTGATAGAGATAGGGGTGATAAAGTAACCCTTTCATACAACAAGTTAAAGATAAATAATGTAACGTATCAGTGGGACAACAACTTGCAAAGTCGCGTGCGTCTCAATCGGCCTCCGAGCCCCCAAGCGGTACAACCTGCATCGGATTGACTTCAACCATCGAAAAATTCTACTATAAGGCTTCTGAACATAAACGCTCGCAGTGTTGTTAACAAGGTCGACGCTCTGGAAGCAACTTTGTATGCACACGACCCGGACTTTGTTGCAATCACTGAAACATGGCTGAATGATAGAATAAATGACTCTGAAATTGTACCTCCTGGCTTTGCGATCATTAGGAAGGACTGGCTGACTCGGGGTGGTGGTGTCGCCCTAATCGTTAAGGAGTTTTTGAAATTTGAGCTCCTGGATGACGTTCCAGGCACTGAGTCACTCTGGATCAGGGTCACATCGTACTCTCCAGCACTTATTGTAGGTGTCATATACCGCCCCCCTAACAGTAGTGACGCTGTCCTTACAGCTTTAAGTGACTACGTGTGCACCCTCAAGGATAAACACAGCCACCTAATAATTGCTGGAGACTTCAATTTGCCTCTGATTGACTGGTCTTGCCTTTTATCTCAAGACGCCAATTGTCCTAGTTCTGATATACTTGTTGATATGGCGTTTAGTTGCAACCTACAGCAAGTTGTTACAGAGTTTACACGTGTACAGGAAACTGCATCATCCCTGCTAGACCTTATTTTTGTTTCCGAGCCGATTGCATCCTGCGAATATGACGTCCGTGTACTCAAGGGTATCTCGGACCACCTAATCGTTATCTTTGAGTGTATCTGGCCTAACAAGATAGCCGCAACTGTGCCTCCAAGGGTGCAGCATTATGTTTACAACTTTTCGAAAGCGAGTGACGAATCTGTCCTTGACACTCTTGAACTGGCCTTTGACTCTTTTGAAAATATGTGCTCTACGAACAACTATAGTATTGACGAATTGTGGCTCTTCGTCAAGGACACTATTCATCACTGTCTGCATACCTTTGTGCCGACTCGTAGGGTTGTGTCTGGAAAACGTAACCCGTGGATTGACCGCGAAATCTTGCACTTGACTAGACAAATTAAACGATTAAAAAAGAAGTCGGCGCCTGTTGCAGACTTGAATGACAGACTGAAATTCATGATATCAAATGCAAAAGATAAATTTTTCAGCGTTACTTTGCACAACTTCCTCAAGTCATCACCAGCAAAATTTTGGAGATACCTATCGCCGAAGAAACACTCTGTCAGCTCTCTTTCCATATCTGATAGCACCGTCAGTGAACCCGGCGTAATCGCGGAATGCTTTAATGATTACTTCTCGACTGTTTTTACCATTGACAACGGTGATTCCCCCTGTATGATAGATGCCGTCAGCTTTGACCCCCTGCCAGATATTAACATTTCGTACGAAGGCGTCTTATCTTATCTTCTAAACCTTGATACTAAGAAGGGTCCTGGGGTCGACGGCATTCCCAATGCTTTTTTTGTCCGCTATGCTGAGTGGTGTGCAAAGTTTTTACATGAACTTTTTGTAGAATCATTGTCCTCAGGAAAGTTGCCACATGACTGGAAGTCAGCCAAGGTCATTCCCATTCATAAAGATGGACCTCGCCAACTAGTTAGCAATTACAGGCCAATTTCTATTTTATGTTCGTGTTCGAAGCTTATGGAACACATTATCTTTAAACACATCATAAGCCACTTGGAGTCCAACCGGTTTTTTAGTCCCAACCAACATGGCTTTCGTAAAGGTCTGTCCACCACGACCCAGCTTATTGAAACGATTCATGAATTTAGTGCTTCTCTTAACCATACCGGGCAAATTGATGTAATATTTCTTGATCTATCTAAAGCATTTGACAAGGTGTCTCACATTAAGTTGCTTGTAAAACTGCAGTCCATCTTAAGTAATGATAATATAATTAACTGGTTACGAGGCTACCTAGAATCACGATCCCAGTTTGTTGAAATTAGCGGTTCTCGATCTTCATATGCTTCGGTAATATCAGGCGTTCCGCAAGGGTCCGTCCTTGGACCTCTCTTATTCCTGATTTTCATTAATGACATTACTCGTAACATCCCTGTGAAATTACGCTTGTTTGCTGATGACGCCATATTGTACACTGAAGTCCGTGATGTAAATGACCAAGTTCAACTTAATACTTGCCTTTGCAAAATTCAGGCATGGTGCTCGACCTGGCAAATGTCACTAAACCCCATAAAAAGTGTCTACATGCACATCACTCGCAAACGCAACCTCCTAACTTATCAGTACGCATTGCAGAGTCATATCCTTTCAGAAGTCTCGTCCTATAAGTACCTTGGAGTTCTAATTAGTAACGATTTACGTTGGAATGCTCATGTTAACTACATAGTGCGTAAGGCGCTGTCGAAACTGTGGTACTTGCGTCGAAATTTCAAACAAGCTAGTGTGGATATTAAACTGACCGCTTACAAGACATTTATTCGTTCTACTCTCGAATATGCTGCAATCGTATGGGATCCCTACACTGCACAAAATATTTCCTTACTTGAAAGTGTACAGAAAAGAGCACTCCGTTTTATTTTTAACAAATATGGTCGTCTTGACTCAGTCTCAGCCCTTTATGACCTTGCAGGCTTGCCTACATTGCAGCATAGACGTAAGGTGGACAGATTGAAGTTTATGTTCAGTTTAAGTTCCGGTCATGTAAACCTGGATAAAACTTTGTACATAACACCACTTGGGGTTCCTAGATATCCTTCCAGAAATCGAAATATCAGAGCCTTCGCCGAGTTTAGCTGCAGAATAGATGCTTTTAAGTACTCATTTTTTCCGCGAACGGTGAATGAGTGGAACAAGTTACCCGAGGAAATTGTTAATTCTTGCAGCTCGCCAGAATTTGTAAAACGCTTAAACAACTACCTTTAATTTTATTTTTCCGCTGCTCAGTGTGTGTTATGTTTAGGAGCTGTGATTGTGATATGTAGGCCCTATTCTTTTGTTTCTTTCTTGTGTACCTTGTTGCTCTATTATATGATTGGCGTGGTTGATCTTTGTATTTATGCATTGAGCTGTATCTACATGAGAGCCCATTGTTCATTTTTTTTTTTTTAGGCACTGTCGGCTGTTGGATTGTTGTTTTCTGTATATTTGAAGTGTTTCACTCCTACCATGTCTCCAAATTGGAGTATGTAGTATTTATAAATAAATAAATAATAAATAAAAATTTTAAAAAAGGGGAATCGTCGAACACGTTTCTCACTGAAAAGGATACTTTTACTAAATTCACAAACTGCTGTTTTCAACCTTTCGTTCACTTCACCGAAAAAGCCGAAAAACTCTGTACGATGAAAGAAAGCTCCAAAGAACTCCGAATTCACGGTAAAAAATAAGCACTCAACAACACTCCGCGATTTTAAGCAGAAATAAACTCCTAAAACGCAGAATCCTAATTATAAGCTGGATTTCGTATATGTTGGTGCAGCTTTTAGATTTCGTTATAACTTATAGGTAGGGTTCCGTATTTTTGTGTATTCTTTTTTAAATTTAAGGGTGTCTTTGGGTGTTCATTTTTTCAAAGTTCTCTGTTTTCGGTATCTATTTCTGGTGTCGACCAGAAATCAGGGTTTATCAGGGCTTACGTCGTAAAAGCTATTGCACATCTATCGCGTTTTTACAACACACAATGCTATTCGCGCCAGTTATCACTAAGTGGCCCATGTAGAAACAATAATTGCAGCAGAAGGAAGCAGCCTCGCGGAAAAGGGCGGTTTGTTTTCGGGGTCAACAGAAATAAAGCAATTTTTCCAGTTAACCTGGGGTTTCATTTAATTCAAAAATTTCAGTTCGGAGTTTTTCAGTTTTACCAATTTCAAGAAAAATCCCAAGAAAAAAGGAAGCCAGACATCAGCACAGCGAGTGGTCATACCAAAGAGAATATTTCGCTCCTGATGACTTCAGCGGAGGCAGTGTAGCGATACGATGGTTGTGGAGTTCATGAAAGCCTAATTTAGGCAACACAAAATATGGATCCTTTTTGTTGTAGTTTACTCGACACACTCGCCAATCTGCAAACAACTTTCCAAAAATATCGCATATGTATTGTCGGGTAGTTTTTCGAATACTTGTTCGGAATTCTTCCGCAGATCTGACTTTTTTGCTTCCATATCGCTAGATATGAAAACGCGGAATAATAGTGTTATCGACTTCTTGCAACCGGGAGGCGCTGATACGGCGTGCTCGTCCGCTCTTTGCGCCCGTCTTGCGTTTGTTTGCCTCAAAATGCGCTCACAGGCTGCTTTTACACTCTCCCCCACCACACGCACACACACACGCGCGCGCGTTCACACGCACACGCGCACGCACGGACGCACGCACACACTGACACACACAAACAACGCGTCTCGTCGAATTAACCACCAACACTGGCGCGGGTTTTACTGCCGCGTCAGCACGCTCTCTGCGTGTTCTTTGTGCTGTCCATCAATTGATCTTCCCCCTTTCTGTAGTACTGTTTGAGAAGCTCTGATAACGTAGCTCTATTTTCTATTTTTCACAATTTTATTCATTGCACGCGGAACGCATTTCGGTTTGGCGGGAATTTGCACACGACGTAAAAGTTAAAGGTGAATACGCCACGTGTCGGTAAATAAGTGAACTAGAACAGCTTGTCACAAATTTCTGGCCATGAATTCCAGTCTTCTGTTCACAACCCACAACACTGCCATCACAATGTCGCTGACACGAAGAAATACAGAACCACGTTGACGATGTTGCTGACACGCAGAAGAATCACGTTGAACGCCGGTTGGCACTCGGCACGGGACGACGGAACCGAACTCAGCGCGGAAGGCACCCAGGCAGCCGGCAGGAAAACCTGCCTTCCTTGGACGCAGTTCCCGCGATTTCCATAACGTCGAAAACGTCGACACAGTTCCTCGTGGTTTCGCTGCTGTAGCAGGCTGTAGTTCCGCGTGTGTCCCGCAAATTGGAGACGGCCGTCTTACCCAGTGTATGTAGCGCTGCTGGCACTGCTCCGGAACTTCGCCGTTTCTGGCGGCTTCGTTAGCTCGTTTGATAAAATTAGTGGTAAAAACGTCAATGCAACCGAAATGTTCTGCACGTTTGGACTAGAAGACGGAATTACAGGCGGCCTTCGCTGCCGCTGAAGCTCAATCAACTCAACATTAATTTATTAAACAACGTGCGCGATGTGCTCGAAAAACGAAACCG